AATGTAGAAAATTGGAATTAACGTGCAAATATCAATAAAATAACATTCTTTCATTAAAAAACGCTACGAATTAATTCCAACACCTAATAATTATATAATGCTTAAACATTCTTCCTTTTTTAATTAAACATCACTGATTATCAGTGCCAAGTATGCCACTGGTTAATTAGTGACTATCCACTGATTCCGATTTAGAGAGTAAGTTGTCAAACATAAAATATTAAATATATTAATTATAAACATAAATATTTTAAATGGAAATATTTGAAATGAAAAAAACCGTGATTGAGACGTCTCCGAAACCATTCCACTTTTATCGAGAATATTTTTCCATATCTTCCATATTTTTTTAAGTATTTTCTTGGGTAAATTAAAATGGTATACCCTGTATAATATTATATGTAATATATTATCTATCGCGGAGATCATCTTACAATTAGTATAAAATAACCATAAATATTGCCTTTTCATCTTGTTATATAAGATATAATATAAATTTAATATCAGTTTAAGAGAGACAGAGAGCGTTAATATTGTATATTGTACTTGACACTTTATATACATATATAAAGTATTATATATATATTTTGCTTTTGAGTCGACAGCCTTTCTCGATAAAATATAATACAGCTTTTACCAAATAAAGCATTACTTTGTCAAGTGTTAACGCAAAGGAGGCGAATGGAACATATTGAAATTTCTAGAACATAATATGTGGCGCACATATGTTACATATAAGGTAAACCTATGCTCTCAAGTCATTTAAACAAGCCATAAACAACTTCCTTCTCTATAACGAGAGTATGATTGCTCGTTTAACATTAAAGTTATGACAAATTTTCTCTCTCTCTCTCTCTCTCTCTCTCTCTCTTTCTCACGCACACGCACACACACGCACACGCTGAAGTGGTCGAGGAAAATAACTAGTATATTCGTAAAGAGATTTTGTGCTAATTATTAAAACAATTTTAGTTAATTGAATTCTCGATGCCAACGAAAAATGGCATCTTCGTTATACAACAAACAAAATCATTTTCAGCTACAACATTGAAAATTTTTCAACCGAAACAATGCTGACTTTAGTCGTATTTTCTTGAAATGTTATAAAGTAATTACTAAAGTAGAGTGTATATATATACACACACACACACACACACACACACACACAATATATATATATATATAAATATATAAATAAATGGAACGACTTAACAAAATTAACACAGTATGGCAAACATCTCAAGCTATAGATTGGATTCTGTTAATTAACTCGATAAAAATAAAAATTGTGATAAACAATGCTATACTATAAGAAGTAACAATGAACTAATTTAAATTTTTATTCGCTTTTAATAAGCTATTCCTAGCTGTATATACCTATACAGTTCAAATTTCATACAAAAGACTGTATAATTTACCTGTTCAATAAGCATAACTGTGAAAGTTGGGATTCGAACGTCGTACAACATCCTGCGCGAAGCTGTATCCGATTTCCGTCAAGTTTTAATTGATTCCAGGGAAGAGCAAGTTAAACCAAGATTAAAATAAAGTGTCACGGAGAGACCGGCGATATGCCGTGTAATTAATGCACCTAATCGCCCGATTTAAATCGTTGCTTTGAGTGACGCTATTGTCTCTCAGAGTCTTAATTATACATATATTGAATGCCGGCGCTTTTACGATTCGCGTGAATCTTGTGGAAATATCCTGTGTCTAATTTCATTCTCTGAATCCATACAATATATTTTTGTACATATACGTAACTATTTTCTTATTTAATAAAACATTTTAAAGTGTGTTTGTCTTGTAGTCTTATAAAATTATAAAGAAATAAATTAAGTATAAACTCATATATTAAGAGTATTTTAATAAATTTAAAAAATTACAAATTAAATTAATTTTTTAAAAAATAAATTTTAAATTTGTTAAAAATTATCGTTTTTCTATATTATATAAAAAATAAAGCTTCAACGCTACAAAATAAATTCTTAATTATCCTCAATGTATTTTGCAAAATGAAATAATTCGAGAAATGTTAAAATATAATAACAATAATTCTTTTCACGTTCAAGCGTCTTATAATAGAGAAATAAAATAGAATTTACTGTTTGCATGACGAAATGTAGCGAATACGTTAAATTATTCATGTTCAACATGTATATGGTAGTAGAGACTTCTTTGTAACGTGTAACTAATTCATTACTCTCAATCCTCTAATGAGATTACTCGGGGCAGTCCGTACGCGGTAATGTATAACTAATTTTACCAGTATAAACGAGGAAAACGCGAGGGGAATGTCTCCGACTCTTAATCATAATTCTTTCTTAATGAATCACAACTGGACTTGAGCACGTTCAGTGTAATGAGATCAAAAGATTTAAGATCTTTTAAACTAACACATCGATAAATTAATAAAGTGAAGCTCCTTAAAAAATCATCTTAGCAAAGATTTCAATCATTAGTTCAGTCTATCAATTTACTCACTGAATTAGAAATTCATCCAATTATTCCTTCAAGTTCAAATCATGTATTCAAGATTATCAATGTAACTACATATATCTTTCTAACGTTGCGCTCGAAGAAAATCTATCTCGCGGTAAATTATTTTCACGGTTATTTCAATTCGCGGAATTTTTATAACCCTTGAAGAAAACTTCCATATATTATGTATAAACTGATCAGTAAAATTTATCCACGAGTTATCAGCTTCTCGGCCACACCGCGGTTTCTCGCGAGCAAAATAAAGTGTGGCGCCCCGCAAAATAAAATACAAACGTGATGTAAAATTATGGCCTGTGGCAGGTAGCGGCGCGCTTTTCCTCAACAATGTGAAAAAAACGACAATCTCTCCCGTGGGTGTGTCGGCGTCAACGCAAAAATATCTCGGTGCACTTCGCAACTACGATAATCAACATGAGTATGCAAATCGAATCGCGACTTCATTTTCGACGGACCGCGTATTTGTACGCATCTATTGCACGCAGAACGCATTTCTGTGCGTACTGCGTCAGCAAATATATACAATGTCGACCGCAAATCAGAGTGATCCTCTGTGATTAAACTATCATGAAGCCCGCTAACGGTAGCACCCTTCATTTGCACAATGATATGAACGAAGGCAATAAATTAATAATCTATTTATCTCCTATAAACAGACTCATTCTAGCATGGAATTCGATAACTGGAAGAACAGTTTAGAATTTCGAAAGGAATACAATTTCGATTATTATCAAATTAAGATAGTTTACGTTACATTATGAGAATCAAATTCCGAAATATATTGCGCAAGTTTAAATTTAATTAAAAAATTAAATTAAATTTATTCTTTCTTGAGTAAAGCTTGAAAGGTTGTAGAACTTTAATAGTATCGAAAAATACTAGGGGTAACTTTGACCTAAATAACAATGTCCAAATGCAACATAAACTATCTTAAAAATATCTTGAAGATTAAAAAGACATTTTAAAACATCTTATGTCCAAATTTTGAACATGCGTGTTGTCTGCATTTTTTTTCAATTTAGATCAAAAATTATCCTGACTATCCTGACAAAAAGCTTGTCACAATTGTCCTGAATTAATTCCATTCTCCTTAAAATGTTCTTAAAAACAAAAATCTAAGAGACACGAATCAAATATAAGCATTAGCTTTAAGGAATGTTGTTTCATCCCTTAAACTTGAGATTGAGTCGATATAAAAAAATGTATGTCTATTGTATTTAACAGCATATTTCAATAAGAATTGAAATATCGGTTCCGGACAATTGTGATAAGATTCTTGTGAGCCAAGTTACTCCATTTTACGATATGCAATACTTCAACTTCGGATAGGAATAACATTAATCGATTGTGACACAGGCTAGAGATCTAACGTAAGAAGAAGGAAAAGAAAAAGAAAAAGAAGAAGAAAAAGAAGATTGTGATCGAATTTAATTCAAAATATTAAAAACTGATAGCACGGTATTTTTTAATTATCGGTATTGATAATTCCGAAGAATGTAGATCGACATAAGCGAACTAAAATAACTATCTCAAAAATATGAAACAACAACCTACCGGCAGCGTGAAAACTACGCTTGCACATGTCATTTAAATGTCCACCGCATTTTCAAAATAACGGAATATGGCTTAATTAACCTGTCAGCGAACTCGCAGTGTCTACAGTCCATGCAGACTTCAGACACTTTTGAAATCCGACATGACAATGTATATATAAGTTATGCGCTTCACGAGTTATTAATCTGGCGGCTCATGTGCAGATACATTTCAAACATTTTAAAACTTAATTATTTAAATGTTAAATCACTTATAATTAAGAATTTTCCAAACATATATATTCAAATAACCAGTAAACATAGATAAGATGGATGAGCTATATAAAAAAATTAACGTATTGCAAATATAAATGCAATTAAAACAATTGCCATCGTCTTTCTATGTAATAACATAGAATTAATGAACATTAATAAATGATCAAATTAGTTAACATTATTAATATATTAATTGTCAATTACTTTTGTATTAAATTAATGATATATGTAGAACTAATGGAGTATGTATACTTGATATATATTCTTGTAGAAAAAAAATTGAAAATTGACTGATGAGTATGATAATGCTAAATAACATAATGCTATTAAATAATAATATTAATTTATACTAGCTCATCCATTTCGAAGTATATCTATCTATGTGTACAATGAATTTATGAGATATTACCTTATCGATTTTATTTATAATATTCTCTTATATTCCTCTAATATGAATTTTTAATTATTAATTATTCTTAAATCAAACATGTCCATAAAAATAAATAACGCTTTCAGATATCAAACGTTTTAAATAATATAACATATTTCATTGCTGCATCTGTTTTTCATTGAAAATTCAAATTTTAATATATTAATAATTTTTTGGAAAAGTAATTATCTCACACACACACACACACACACACATAAAATTCTCATAAATTCATTATTAAAATAAAAATAATTAAAACTCACCGGTCCGATGCGCAGCAGCGGAGTTGTAGTATACGATGTTAATCTGTAAAATATAAATTTATTCAAATTAAACTTATGTCCAAAATAATTAAAATAAAAAAATAATTATAATGTGTATGAAATTTTTTGTTTTTTAAATAAATATTCAAACAAAAAATTATAATTTGTAAAAAATTTCGTTCTAATTGTAAGTATAAACAATTATAATTTTTAATATACCGATGTGAATAAATCTAAAGAAATTATCGGTCAAAGCAAATCTTAGTACTTAAATATTTCGATATACCTAAATCAAATGCGTTTAGAAATCAAACAATTTTAATATAATATAATATAAATTTCATTGTGATTCACATTGAAATATCTAAGATCCTTTTTAATCGAGATAATAAGATTTCTCTTAATTATTATGTAAGTATAAACTTGTATAATATTTAATTAAAAAATTTAATTCTCTTATAAATAATTTAAATAATTATAAATATTGAACATATTGGAATATTTTATGTCTCCCCATAAAAATATTAGGAGCACACATCACACATTATTATTAAATATTTCTTATATAAATATTTCTTAAGTATAATATCTCAAAATAATTTAAAATACATTATATGAATTGTGTTACACAATAATGTACCGTACGAAATGTATGCGACTTTCACGGGGACTTTCATAGATAATTAATCTTAAAAGTGTTAAACATTTTATAAATAATAAATTACTCACCCTCGGTTGCTCCGCCGATGCCTGATGCCACCCCGGGCCTCCTCCTCCTCTGTTCCTCCTCTTCTGAGACTTCATTGTCATTATTCTTCATCCACCCACCATTGCACGTTACATATACCTTCTTGTACCTCTCACGCCTGAAATAACAAACGTTCTATCTTAAGACAGTTGCTATCGCGTATTGTAACAATACTCAAGACTAAGATCGTGAATAAAATCCGCGGAATGTGCAGTACTCGAGATTATGATCGTCGTCTTGCGATTGTTTCCCGGCGGATTTCAAGCATAGATCTCATCAAGCTCGTATTAAAGGATACATTGGAGATTGAGAATTGCGAATTGGAGATTAGAGTTCAGTTAGTCAGAATGAAATGAATTGACATTAAAATTACGTAATTGGCCAAATTCTAATCTCTAATTTACAATCCTTAGAGCTGGGTTGTTCCACCTTTTGGTAAACTTCAGCTCACTAACTTACTTTTTTACTCTTTTGTTTATCTAGTAGGTAAATTATCACACATTTTATCTGAAGATGGAACAAGCAACCCTTAATGTGTAATGTGACGGACTTGACAAAGTACACGTTCGTGTCAATGATACATACGCCAAGAATTCACGCCATGCGATCGTTAATTGTCACGATACAACACCGATTACGATTAGCGTCACGACGTCGCTTGACTCGTAATCGAGCCATTCCGTATTCGTGAAGTTACGTTAGAATTGAAAAATTCGATTGCAGCAAACTTCATTGCGATGCGATAAGACGTGAGTCAATTTAACGATTGATGAAGACGCGATAAATTGCCCGAAAATGTGTCTCAAAGTTCGATTTATGTACATTATACATAATATTTAAAGCCTATAAAAGATAGTATCGTTAATGAACCGTTGATATATCATGACTCTCCGATTTTTGTTCCGGTGACTCGTGCATTAAAAACTGAAAAACTAAATGACTCGTTAAAGTATATTAATTGATACTGGTGGAAAATTCAAAGTGTAATACTTATATCTAAATTCAAGAGTATTTGAGAAAGCAATTACCGTCCATAAAACAATGTAGAACAATACTTAATCCTCCGGAGCTGACAGTAGATTTATTGAATCCACTCAATTATACTAAATGTCTTTATCAAAAATGTCAAACAATTCAATTTTCTTTACGTTACATCTGCAAATGGATTATTCTTATTGTAAAAGAAATTAAGTATTTCTTAACTCCTTTTTATACAAGTTATGTAATTTTTTGATTCCTTGAAATTAATTAGTGTCTTTAATTATAACATAAATTAAATGCTGCTTACAAATATACAGCGTCAATATAACTGTTACAGATTTAGACATCAGTTCCGGAGAGTTAACAGTATTCCATTCTTTGTAGTTTCGATTTTTGTTCCGCATGAATAAAGACACGAGAAAACACACGATAGATAAAATATCGGCCGATTATTGTGTGTCGTGTATGAAAAGGTTGGCAATACATATACAATCTTGGCCAAAAATATCATACACCTGTACTATTTTCACTATATCTGAAATTCGTTTGTCTGTATTATTCCTCCATTAGTTATCGGCATTATACATATAATAATTTCAAAAGTTTTTACAATAAAACAAAGAATTTTTCACAGCAAATGCCATGAGTCAACTTTTAAACTAACGCCATATAACGGTGCCTAATATTTTTTACCAAGGCTGTATGTAACCGCACGATGTAACATGAATACGACACAATTTTAAGTATTGGTACAGAATAATCGCTATTAGAGCTTCGTCATACTCACTATAATTGCGTTTCGAAAGATAATATACGGCTCACTCGAGTATCGGCGCGAGAATGGTAGTGACTGGTACGGTGACCTTACGCAGGAACGCAGGACGTCGCGCACCCTTAGGCCGAGTTCACATCTTGACGGAAAAATGGAAAAGCGGAAGCCAATCGGAACTCGCAGTAGTAGTACATTTCGCTTCTGTCTTTCCGCGAGTTCAGATTGGCTTCTGCTATTTCGCTTTCCATCTTTCCGTCAAGATGTGAACTCGGCCTTACGTCGCGCGACGTAATTTGTAAAGAAATTCGAAAGCCGCAGGCCAACCGATTCAAAATTGTAACATTGAGAAATTATGAAACAAAATATATTGAATATTTTATTCCTTGCGTTTCAGATTAAATAGTTTCAACGAATAGATTGTTATCGAACATTCTCGAAGCACATTTCTTTCTTCGTGAACTTGCTAACATCACTTAATAACGTTTAATTCCGTAGAATGAAAATGTTTTGAAAGTTTAATGGATTGTTACTTAAATCTTAATTATTTTCCGCAAACGACACAACAGTTGACCGACATTTTCTCTGTAATGTGTTTTTTGTCCTAAAAATGTGCAAAATTACCTTATACATCGATGACCAGTCGTCATGTCGTCTCGAATTGGAAGAATAGCTTTTACGAATTACGAGACGATCATTTTCTTCACATTCGATCAATTTCTTGTTCTTATTTTTACGACGTACTACTTCACACATCGTAGACGACGCCATTGTAATCAAGAATCGATCATGCTAGCCAATATTTTCTTACGGTTCGTAGAGAATTGTACCTATGCGTCTCATCACGACCACGTTCCGCAGGATAATAATATGTGACGCACTTCACGACGTAGCTCGACCGTTGCCCGCCGGGCCGGCTCGAGTCTCAATTTTCAAACAAGGTCACGCGTGTTTACAATAACGCACTGCGACGTCGTGCGAAATTCAATGTGTTAGCTAAATTCGTTGCTACATAATATTCAACGTATTTCTAATTAAAACAAGCTGAATATAATTCATTTCTTTCAGTAGATATTATTACAGAATTTCAGAAAAATATCGGTCGCACATTTTGCGCTTCATTTCGCGGTTCCGTTAGTATTATTTGTACCTACACGAAAAGAATAGCTTTGCTGATTTAACTATCTAAAAATTAAGTGAAATACATATCTCTGATTTTATATTTGAAATAAGTTATTTATCTATACGAATAGTTTTGTTGATTTAAGAAAATTTGCATGTAAATGAAAATTGATAATATTCTATATATCTTTTATAGAAAGGATATATAGAATATTCATTTAAGTATGAATGATTAAAAAGAATAATGTTGGAATATCTCAAAAATACCTCATGCGAATAATTATTAATTACGTTTAGAAGAACTGTTCAAGTAATATACGAATAATAAGTGCCAGAGATGCTACAAAGAAAAAGCGCAAAATGTACAACGATATCCGTTTATCAAAATCATATAAAATAAGAGAAAGAATAAATTAAATAAATTGAATATTTTTCATACGCAACGCGACAGTTGAACATCCGAACGGCGCGACGACAACCAGCAAAATGGGGGAGCGCGAATGTGGCGAATAGCGAGGGGGAGCGCGAATGTGGCGGATAGCGAGGGGGGGGCTGTCTACGTCATCACTTTGGCATTCGCAAGCATTCGCTCGGTGACCTCGGCGCGAGATGAACGTGTTTAGGTGTCGCTCCGAGTGTCGTATTAATTTGAGGGTAATCAAGTAGTAAGGTTGCTAAAAGCTAAGGTATGTAGTATGTACTAATAGTTGAGAAACAGATCACATGAAGTTATTTAAAATAATAAATTCTAAATAACTTTTATCCTTTTTATTAACTATCTAAAAATTAAATGAAATACATATCTCTCATTTTATATTTAAAATAAATTATTTATCTATACGAAAATAGTTTTGCTGATTTAAGAAAATTTGCATGTAAATGAAGGTTGATAATATTCTATATATCTTTTATAGAAAGGATATATAGAATATTCATTTAAGTATGAATGATTAAAAAGAATATATATTGTTGGAATATCTCAAAAATATCTCATGCGAATAATTACTAATTATGTTTAGAAGAATCGTTCAATTAATATACGATTGAATAAGTGCCAGAGATGCTATAAAGAAAAAGTATAAAATGTACAACGATGCCTTTTATCAAAATCATATAAAATAAGAGAAAGAATAAATTAAATAAATTGAATATTTTTCATACGCGACAGTTGAACAGCGCGATGACAAGCGAAATGCGAGGGGGAAATGTGGCGGATAGCGAGGGGGGGCGCGGCTGACTACGTCACTTTGGCATTCGCAAGCATTTGTTCGGAGCGAGATGAACGTGTTTACGCTCTGAGTGTCGCATTAATTTGAGGGTAATCAAATAGTAAGGTTGCTAAAAGCTAAGGTGTGTAATATGTAATAATAGTTAAGAAATAGATCAGATGAAGTCATTTAAAATAATAAATTCTAAACAACTTTTATTCTTTTTATTAACTATCTAAAAATTAAATGAAATACATATCTCTTATTTTATATTTGAAAAAAGTTTCTGGAATTTATTTTTTATTTTTTATTTTAAATAAGTCGTAACAGTATTCCGCCGATTCCTGGATGCTACAAATACTTCGAAGCATTTTTTGATTGACCAATTAGCAAAATATTTTCTTTTAATTAGTAAATCAAATGCTTCGAAGCATTTATAGTAACTTCGATCTCTAAATCGGTCATTATTTTTTCTTTTCAAATTTTTCCGTTTAAGAAAAAATATGTATAAAACCGTGATTTTTAATAAAAATTGGACGATTTTTTTTTGCAGATCGTAGAGGATGAATGCTTCCTTCCTCGCTTTCCATATGAAAAGGATAAATATAAATCTGCACTTTATGCAGCGAACGAGGTATGAAATGTTTTACGGTTAATTAATATTCATTGCAATTTATCTTTGACAGCGGTATACCGACAGCGATGTCGGTGTGATTACGCCTCTTTCATGGCGAGCTATTTTTGTCATTAAACTCAGTTCAAAGAGCACGTGGCGCAAAGGGCTCTGCCTGATTTCCGAAAATAAACTCTAGCATTTGCGTAATCCCGCTGTCAGGATCAACTCACCGAGCACGCGGTACAGAAATACGATTATGGGAAAGGAATTACACATTTCTCGTAAACGCAAACGCACGTGATTGCATTATCGGCTACAACAGCTAAAACGATATTGTCTGATATAAACGGATTACTGCAATTGCTATCATATACATATATAGTGTCATTGCTGCTTCGTCTTTTGTGCTTTTGCATATTATTCTCCAAAGTAGTTGAAATAAAATTTTTTTTTATTTTAAAATGAATTAGAATAGAGAAAATTATATACAATCACGTGCTATTGATGTTTAAAATTAAAATCTATCATTTAAAAAATGCATTTAAAACTGAAAAAAAATGCAGTCACGCTTTTTTATTAACTCTTCGAAACAGATCATTAATGACAGTGGGATCTATTGAACCTATTCAAGTAAATCTCTCGTTAAAAATATTAAACAGTTCAATTTTTTTGTTATACGTAAATCAATATTTTGTCACCTGCAAATTTGAAATATCTTTTAAAAATTTATAAGTATTTATTCTTTTTTATGTGAGTCATGTCATTTAAATTTGATTGCTTGAAATTAATTAGTGAGGTTTAATTATCATAAATTGAATGGATTTTACAGATCCAGCGTCAGTAATTATGCTGTAAATTTTTATGTGTCAGTTCTGGAAGGTTAAAATTGATATCTGAATTTAAAACTAAAGAAAATGCAAAGACAGTGCTTTTTTAATAAATATTTTTCTATAAAAATAAACGAAGCCCACGAAAGTTCTCTGTTATGATTTTAACTTATAATCTCTTCGATCCTCATGGAAGTCTCAGAATTTCTATATTTCTGTATTTCTGATTGTAATTTCTAAGCTTGAAATTCGAGACTTGCGAATTGAATTGCGTATTAATCTCTTTGAAACTTGAAACGTTCACGGAATATGAGTAGTCATGTGTACATTATTGCACGGTATATAACATAGATGTTTCATAACATCATCCGCTTCCTCGAGCACGCCATGATTGATTTTATTTTCGATCACGAATAAAATTTATTGCGATAGCCACTCGTCTTCCCATTACGCTTTGGAACACAGAATACTCGATAGTGGCTATACACTTATCAGTAATCGATAGCATCATTGTACATTTTCTTTATGTGCCTTTCGATATATACTGTATACGAGACCAGCATTGTGTTTTGATAATGTGGTACGCCGTATCGAGTATCGATATATGTAAATTACATTCCAATGTTACGAGCATCGCGTAACAAATGCAACTTACTGTGCGCGGAATAATAGATATACTATCTATGAAGATAAATGAAACTTTATTTTATACTTTACAAAATGATATAGTGTTATCAAAAATTATCTATACATATTTTTTAAATTCTTTTATCTCTCATATCAAAAATATATCTTTATGACATAATTAAAAAATTGTCACTTTTTATTTGCTTACAAAAAAAATGGAAACATAATGAAAATTTCTCTGCAATCAATTATTACACTAAAATATTACAAATTTTTGTAATTCAAAATGTTCAAACTTATTTTCTGGAAAGCCTTGTTTTTGAGATGTAGCAAATGAACGATATATGCGATATTATCACTAATATATTCATGAAATACTTAATTTACTTTAAAATCTTTAAAATCCTCTTTAATATCATTTGTGTGTCTTTAACTTTAAACGTTTCTTTCGCATTTTTCACTAAAGATAATGTTATAAAATGAATAGGTTTGAAATAAAGTAAAGTGATTAAAATCAGACACAGGACTATATGATCCGATTTATTAATCGTACATGCGAAAGTAGCGTATCAATAATAAAATTTACAGAATTCTGATTCAGAATATATTTATAATTTATAATTATTACCTATTTATAAATTTATAATTATTACTTATTTATAAATTATGGGGAGTTACGGAATATTCGAATTCCGCGCTCGCACTAAGACTCAGACAGAATGTCTTCCAGAGTTTTATCATCATGGAGAGGCGAGTGTCCTAGAGTAGGATCGCTCTCGAGGAATTCGCGCAATTCAGACTCGAGGTCAGCCACCACGCCAGATGGTTCTGATGCGCTCAGTAAAGACGGCGGCGTCTGACTGCTGTGCGTCATACCGATCTGCATCTGAATTGCCGACGGCGGCTGATTCGCGCCTACAATACTGATATTTTGATTTTGCTGGCTGGTCGAACTCAGTAGATTCGCGTTTTGAATTGGCGAGGGGGCCGGCAACAGATTCGACAACACCTGATTGCTGCCATTGCTCGGATTCGGCAGTAACGAACCGTCAGTGACTATAGTGGGGTTGTGCGTAATCGGCTCGACTTCCATGGGCTCTGGTCCGCCCAAAGGTGCTATGCCCATAGCTCTACGCAATCCGTCGACCGGCGCGATCCCTGACGGTGGCAGTTTCTTTGCTATATCGGTGAGATTGTCTGTGATCTTCTCGGCAAGCATCACCTCCGTGTCCGCTGCCTTAGGAACATTGGAGAGATGGGCCGGTGGCGGTGCTGACAAACGCTCGTGTTGAACCTGCTTCAGCCGGCCCAGCATCTGTGATGTATCATCAAGACGACTTTGTAGAGCGGCACGTTCCTCGCTATATTTAAAATCCTCTTCTGTAAATAGAAAAAAAACGTGTAATTATAACAGAAGAGAAGTAATTTTAATCTCGAAATTATTGAATTATAATCGACGTTATGAAACAAAATATTTTTTTTTGATATATTTTGAGATAAGAATAAGGAAAC